GTTCCCCGGTCAAACCTCAAACCTATTACGCGAGATATTAACTAAAGTGGACTGTATATGCGACTGCTTCTACGCTTACGTAAAGCGACTACTATAGCATGCGGTACAATGCACTCGCTCTTCCCTAAACTAAACTATTACTTGTCGAATCGATGAAAGGAATCCTGCTTGACTAGGAAAAAAACACAGATTGGAGCGGGTTAAACTATTAGCAAGCAGGTATAATTAAGGAATATTGACTCACCGGGGTTTCTTCTTCCTGTCGATCACTATGGCGGCTTCTGGAACACTCCGGAGAGAGGCGGTGCGCGACGATATCTCACACGAGGTGAGGCGGGTTCCTGGAGCTCGACTGCTTCCAGGCCAAAGCGGTTTCCACTAGTGAGGTGTTTCCAAACGAGCGCGCGGGAAGAGGAGGTTGTAGTTCAACGACGACTGCGGCGGGAGAAGAGGCTCGCGCATCGGTCGCGCGTGTCTTATATATCCTCGGCTCGGGTGATTACGCGATGTTCTAGAATCGTCTTCTTCCCCTCCCACCCCACCACCCCGATGTGTCGATAGGAGGGTACGAATGATATTGTTTGGAAAGGAATAATGATTCTACAAGTTCCTACCGTCAAATAAAAAAACGCGAATGGTTTTCCGCGCAACCACCGCAAAATATAAGATTATATAACACTATCCCCTTTCGATATCGATCGTTTCAGTGTATTATAGTATTCTATAGTTTCAGTAATCGGATCGGTATTGAAAACAACTTGTGCAGTCCATAAGCCCGATCTAAGCATCGAAATTTGCATATTAAAGCTCGAAATTTTAACTACTCGTATCTAAGTACCTATTGCGAGCACGTTAATAGGTAACTCTGCAGGTGCTTAGGTTAAGTTTTAATCACGTTTAGGTTTTAGTTTTAGTCAAATTTAACTATTTTAACTTTAATATTAATAGAGTAGTTAGAGTAAATGGAGCTCTACGCTCCGTTGTGAAAAGTCAGAATGTGTCAAAATAGGCACGTCTGGCAATTCACAATGCTGTATTTGTCCCTACTTGTGTTGATTTTATGTTGAGTAATAAGAGAAAAGTGTTGTTTGCAAGATGATGTTGTCACCAGGATTAAGTAAGGAATGCTTCGATGGTTTGGTTATGTAGAAAGAAAGATTTAGAAAAGAGTGACAGAGAAAATCTATGTTGCATATGTGAACGGCAAAGTCGGGAAGGGACGCCCTACACGAAAGTTTATCGATCAAATTGGCGATATATAAAATGGGCCAGATTAAAAATACCCTTAACCGACGAGCAGTATGTGTAAGTATATAGATGTAAAGGAAGCGAGAGACTTGTGTCAGGATCGTGCCAAATGGAAGCCCGTAGACTCTGCCTACCCCTTTTGGTGACAGGCGTGAGTGTTTGTTTAAGTTTATGTTTATATGTATGTATGTAAAAAAAAAAGAAAAATTATGAGACAGTCAATGACAGTTATTCTTGGGCTTGTAGCAATCAGTAATCTAAACTTTTAAGCATCGAATACATACAGAATTATGATATGATATATAATCTTCGGACAATACCTGGATTTGGAATAATTGTGTCAATTTTCATTTGGAGCGTGTATTTATTCAACAAAATCAATCGGCTATATACCGTGCTGTCATATTTAAGCATTTATCAAAACAACAACGGTGATGTGTATCATATGATTGGTTTATTTACAGTTTACCGCAGTAAAGCCACATTGTTCATCGCACTATGTTGTCGGTGTTTATGAATACGTAATATGGGCTATAAAGGCGTGCACGTTTTGGTATGTAGACATAATTCGTGTTGGGCTATGTACGTCATGCGGTCACTAATCTAATTAGAACTTGTGTTGCAGCTGATGTAGGTAACATTTTGTGCTGGTCGTTTATTTGTTTTATTTTCAGCGTGCTGTATGTCGTTTCAGTTATGGCCATCAATTATATGTATACGTGTAATATATTCCGTGTTTAGGTAAATTACCTGCATTACCCTATTTCACATTCGTTATGCTTGTCGGTCGACATGCCTCAGGTCATATTTAATATTATCATTATTATTACCACTAATTAAAAACAAAATATTTGAACCTAAATTTATTATTTCTAATTAAGTACTTAATGATTTCTTAAATTTACGCGAACACTACACATTGAAAAAATTTATGTTTACGGATTTTATCGCGTTTAATAAACTTATCTAATAAATTATCGACCTTTCGGGTGCTTTACAGCTCTTTTTTTAAAAATATTTTAGACCAAAAATTAATATTCATGAACTGAAGGTAGCCGAGCTAATTATGACATTGGCACGTCAAACATCTCAGTGCCCCCGGTACCATGGGTCCTATAAAGAATCCGAAACGTCGGGAATTAAAAATAAGTTAGAATAAGTTATTAAACGCGATAAAATCCGTAAATATAGTTATTCAATCTTATTAAGTATTCAAAATAAAGCTATCAAACCTAAAAGACGAAAACAAGTTTATGCACTAATCCTGTATTTTTAAAAGAGTTCTTGGGGTTATGAGTTATGACAAAACAGGTTTTTCTTTTCTTTGGTCTTTTTTTGGTTTTCTAAACATCTATTGAAATTTTGTAGGTATGTGTAAGATATTTTGTATATTTATCAACGATTTTGATTTATATCAAAATTGATATCAAGTTTGGTGAAAAATAGCTGTAACTGGGTTTTGATATGTTATTTCTTAGTTATGTTTCAAATAATCATATTAAAAAGTTTATTTTTTGAAGCAGTGTTCGATACAGCTATCATATTAAGGGGTTCTTTTATACTAATGTTTAAAAAACATCAAAGGATAATTTTTCATAACTGTATTTCTTAAAAATTATTTAAAAACTTTCTCTTGTAATATGAATTGTTATTCGCACTGCTCTTTCTTTGTGAGGGCTGCAAAGAATATAAGTAGAATAATTTTTATTCAATTTGAATACTTATTGACAGCCAAAACCCAGAATTTATACAAAATTTAGGAATTTACGTTGTACAATTACATTATATAATTAAGCACTAATTTCATCTCGTGGATGTGATAAGATTCGATTAATTGTAAAACTAGGAAGGTCTTGTGGCTTTCGGGGTGATGAGGAAATGGAATAACTATTTAGTAATCATCAGCATACAATGGTCTACATTTTGACATAATCGTAGGCCTTTACCAACACGCGTTATATTCTCGCTATGTGTCGTATACACGTACCTTTTATACATGGTACAACCACTCTGCAGCTATATTATGGTTGTAGCACGAATGGGTCGGCTCGACCGGGGAAGGACCACGCTCTCACAGAATACCAGCGTTAAACAGCAGCTTAATACTGCTGTGTTTCGTATGGTGAGTGTAGAGATCCGAAGACCTTCTTTTACTGGATATGAGGCATTCCATCTTAGTCCTCACGGGTGACAACGCGTCTGCATTTTTATTCTTAATCGAGGATAAATGTAGATGTGAATGGTCCACAGTATCCACTTACCATCAGGTGGACTGTGTGCTCGTTTGTCATCCTTATTCTATAAAACATAATTTAAAAAAATATTCAATGGCGGCAGCATCAGAGTTGTAAAAGGTTTGCTACATTAATCAGCAATGCATCTATCATAGTTGCAGTTGTAAAAAGAATAGGTTTTTGTTGCGCTAAGACAGTGTGGTTTACCATCTTGGCCTTCATCACCATTACTTACATATTCACTGGTGGTATTGTGGTCAAACACTGGCTTATAATAAGTTTAAAAAGGATCGAAATTGCTGGAAAAGGGTATTAGTATGTATCGAAAAATGAAAGCCCCGTCTTCTAAACCTTAACTACAAAGTTTACATTTTACTAGCTGTTCTCCACTACTTCGCCCGCGTGTAATTTAGGATTTTAATTTTATTGCGCGCAACCCTAATTCCTTTTCTAAAATAAAAAAGCCTAAATTACTCCGTATAACAACAAAACAAACAAACAGACAAACAGACAGACGGACCGACAGATAGACGGACAAAAAATTTAAAAATAGTGCTTTATTATAGTACTGTTTACTTTCATATTCATTTAGTAAAAAACTGTTATTTTGACATTACAAACAGATAATTTATTTTCATTTTTAACTTCCCACTAAAAAATATCAAAAAAGAGAGGAAGTTATTGGTTTCACCTTGATTTTCGAAAATCGAGTTTTCATCAGATCTCGACATATTGAGATTCCAGGAACCTATTCTGACTAATTTCACGTGGACGTCCGTACGGATGTATGTGTGTTTGTAATGTAAACCTTTTATAACTTTTGAACGTCTTGATCGATTGAGATGGGGTTTCTATTTCTCGTTCTAAAGATCTCAATGTGGAATAGATTCCGTGATAATATGAACTAATTCAGACGAGTAGATTTTGAGAAATATCAAAAATAAAAATTTTGAAAAACTGTTTTTTTTTTGGAATAACTTTTAAACGGATTTACCGATCGATTTCAAAAGATTTCTTATCAGCTCTTAATCTCAAAAAATGAGGTCGAATACCGTTTGGAAAATAAATGGAAAATAAATATCGGTTTATTCGTTCGTGAGATATCGAAGGAGAAAGAATTTGAAAAAAAAAAAACGTTTTTTAACATAACTTCGAAATTTCGCAACATAAATTGGTGAAATTTGGAGCGCTTTGCATTTGAAATTAGCGGAAAGTTCTAGGGATGGCCTGCAGGGTCAACCAATTTTTATTTATTTGTATAGATTAAAAGTTTAATTATATTACTCTTTTGATTGGTCTAAGAGACATTACAAGTTCAAAGCAACAACTATTAATCACCCTTCGAGATGGATACATATATTTTTTATGAAATCACCGATTATACAGCTTATTAAATAAAAAAAAATATTTAAATCGGTTCTGACGTTTATAATAAAATCAGTGAATGAAGATAAAAAACACATGATATTCAAAAATAGAACCCGTTTTTTAAAAACTGTTGAAACGTAAGTATAATAATCAACGGTAATGCACGTCCGTTTTTATTCTGCAGTATATTGCAAATGTGAATGCATTTTCTATTTGTTTTATAAATGATATTACTTTCCAGAATTCAATAGAGAAGTCGAAACTTTTCTTCGCGAATACTTTTATCAGTTTCCTATTATGAATTTCATTTATAGTTCCCGAACTGTTCTTCTTGGTTTTATACTGGAAGTAATATCTGAAACTATTTGTTTGTTAGAGTTACTACTTATTTTTATGCGATTGCAATGGAGCCTAAAAGGATATAATTTTATTCTGATAAGTATTATAATATGTTCGTTTCAATGTACGTTCGTAACTCCTTCAACAATTGTCGAATTTCAATACAAATATCACTCCTCAATCGATTCGTATCACATACTTAGGTGACAAACATACACTGTATGACTTTATCATTAAATAATTATAGCAGACATGAAATTCCAAAACTTGCGACTTATAATATAAAAATAAGCAAATATTATATCGCGTATGACACATGAAATGTATTAATGAGTACATTCCAAATTTAAAATTACTGCGGGTAGTAGTAGTAGTTCGCCGTGGTAGTACGAAACTCCTTCCGGAGCTCTACATGTCCCGAATAACTGTTCTCAGAACTGTGGATGCTACGTGGCTTTAGTCTAGTGATGGACATAAAAAAAACATCGATGTTTTTTTCGATGAATACATTGGATTGTTGCATCGATGTATCAAAAAATACATCGATGTTTTCTATACATCGATTGCTTTTCTATAAGTTAAATATGTATATGGTTAAGAAATAAAAAGCAAGCATCTACTAAAATAATTTTATTACATTTACATTTATTTTTAATATATATCCCAATATTTTTTATCTATACTTTGTAAAAACAAAATTTTACCCAATCTTTTACCCTTTAATCTATTCCTTTGTTGAGTCATTACCTGCGCCGCTTGCGAAAACAGTCTCTCTGATGGCATTGATGTGCCCACCATTGTTAAATATTTGAAGGCAATTTTATGCAATATTGGAAACTGTACTTTGTAATCTTTCCAAATTTCTAGGGGAATGTCGTTAAGTCTTCCAACAGGACTTGTCAGATAAACTGAAAGTTCATCCGACAAGCTATCTTCAGATTTATTACTCTTCCAATTGCGATGTACCAATTTGTAATGATCACTCCATAATGAAAATGTCTCTTCACTTTTATCAGACTTATCCGAGTCTGACTCGATTTCTTCAATTTGACACAAATGAACCTTCATTAAGTCTTTGATTTTCGATACAGCATTGCTACAAGCTATTGCATCGTTAAAGTGAAGTTTTTTAAAACGTGGGTCTAAAATGTTTGCTATAGCAAGAGGAGTTACATGTTCAATGGAACCCATTCTTTTCGTAATTTCCTGCAGAGCCAGTTTTTGCACTTCTCGTGCCACAGGTTCTCCTGCGACACCTGCTGAAGTAATTTTGGAAAATATGCAGCGGACTAAAGGTATAATTTTGCTGGTTGTGCAATATTTATCTGCAGAAATTTCTTTAGTGGCTACCTCCAAAGGCCGCAATATCAGGAGGACGGATGAGGCAATGGATATTTCTGAACTGCTGAGCATTGGGGGTGCGGTGGCGTGTCGAAAAAGAATATCATTTATGACACTCCGCAGTTCTAAAAATCTTTGTACCATGTAGTAAGTACTATTCCAGCGCGTCGGTACGCTTTGTATAAGTTTAGTCTCAGTAGAAGTAGCTTTGCGCAATTCGTCACTAGCAACGCAACTTTGTTTGAACCAGGTCACAATTGCTTTAATTTTAGTAACAATTTTTTGCCACTCAGTACATGCCATTGTGCCTTCAGCTACCAAATTTAACGTATGAGCCAAACATGGAATGTGTTTTTTCTTACCAAACGCCAATTCTGCAGCTTTCACCATATTGGCAGCATTATCGGTTACAACAGCCGTCACATTATCTTTTTTAATACCCCATTCTGCACAAGTTTTTAAAAGCATTTCAGAAATATATTGTGACGTATGTCTTTCATCGAGTTCGTACACGCCGAGAGTAACTGAAATGAGTTCAATTTCTATTCCAAAATGAACAGTTACGCCTATAAAACTTTTCATATTTAATGTATCAGACCAAATATCTGTCGTCAAAGTTAAGTCTTCTATCGAAGACAATTTCTTTTTAAAAGTTTCTGAAACAACCTCATATTTATTATCCAACCATCGTCTCAGACTTGTTCTACTTGGTATTTTATATTGAGGAGCAACTGCTTTCATAAGATTTTTGAAACCTTCATTCTCGACTATTCAGAAAGGCTGGTGATCTTTACAAATCATATATAACAAACAATTGTTAAGTTTTCTTGTTTTCATGCCTGATTCTGAATAAGAGGAGATTTCTTGAAAACTGGTTTTGATAGATTTTTGACGTTTTATAGGGATTACTTCCGAGTCAGAATCTAAAGCTTTATCCAACGGTTTTGAAGTAATTTGAGAACTACTCGTCGAAGGAATAACGGTTTCGGAATCAGATTGAACTGATTTAAGTTCATTAACAATACCAATGCAAGGTGTCTCATTGGAACTTGAAGCATCTGACTCTCGAACTGATTGCGTGATACTTTTTTTCTCCGAAGGACTACTCCTTTGAAACGGAACAATTTCAATGTAAGCTGCCTTGTGGATATTACGAATATGCCCAAATAAGTTTGTTGTATTTCCAGTACACTTGATAACTTTTTGACATAACTTACATTTAGATTTATTGTCATCAATTCTGTCGTAAAACTTCCAGACTAAACTTTTCTTTTTAGGCGCCATTATATTCTGAAATAGATAAAAAAGGAATGTATTTTCAATAAAAAAATATCGATAACGTGGTATCGGTAACATAGAATCACTAGTGATATAATTCGTTATTAACTTGTTTAATAAACATTTGTTATGATAAATAATTACTCCCTTTAAAGTAAATAATTGGACATTTACATGATTATTTAGATTAGACAGATTGATATGAAAATATTTTTATATTTCTAACCTAGAAGACTAACACGCGATGTAATGTAACTTAAATAGGTACGACATTAAGCACGAAATACAATTAAAGTATTAGTTACTGAATTTTTATTTAATTTACAATCATGCTTTTACGGAAATCTCGAAAATTGTTACTTATATATTATTTAGATGCACGCACTTACCTTTGTTTACTTGTCCAACGTGTTTACAGGCTTATTATGATATTAATATTACATATAACGTGTTGTTCAGTTTAACACTTCGATTTATAAATATTATTGCTAACGCGACACAGCAAATTTTAAAATGAATTCTGAATCAAACTGAGTAGGTAATTAATTAATAGAAAAATTAAAATAATATGATTTTTGAAGCCAGAGACTGCAACGAAAGTAAGACTAAGAGAGAGGTGGCGGCTCAATTCAGTCGGCCATTTGCATTTATATTTTTTATAGGTTGGTTACACTGACCTCTATATCATTGGCTGCCTTTTCAACCAGTGATACCACTTTTTGGCGAAACACCTTGCGAGTGCTAAATAATGTAATTGAAAAAGAGAAAAAAATAGTTATTAACCGAGAGAGGGGCGGGGGGTTGATTGTTTGCCTTTTCGATGCATCGAAAAAAAAACATCGATGTATACTCGATGTTTAAAACTTAACAATACATCGGTTTGATTCGATGCATTGTTACTATACATCGAGTATTTTTAAAACATCGATGTATATCGTCCACTCCTACTTTAGTCTCGGGCGAACTGGCCATGGAACATTAACTTTTGGAGAGAGCGTTAGACTCGATTTAAATAGGGTTGCCAACTCCCGTTTCATGTTCCAGAGGATTTGATAAGACTAAATAAAGGACATAGGATCAAAATTACTTAATTTCTTTCACTTATAATTGATATTTTTAATGTTTATATACAAAACACACACACATACACACACACACACACACACACACATACATATATATATATATATATATATATATATATATATATATATATATATATATATATATATTCAAGTAGAAGAGTAATTTTAAATATTATTCATATTTGTCATATGGTGAAAAATCACAAATCACAATAACCGGATGTGAAGCAACTGTTACTTGATTATTGTTTCCTGTGAATAAAACGACTCGAAAACAATATCATTAAAATTCATTGCTTATTTCGATATCCATGAAACTGGTATAAGTTTACTTTATTGTTGTTGATTATTGTTATTATAACTTTGAACGCGTCATTTGAGTTACTTTCGATAAGCTGATGATGTTGTGATAATGATTCCCTAATTAACGCAAACATATCCTGATGTATCAAACTATACATCGTGTAGATTTTACTTTTAAAGACTCGTTTCAGCTCTTTGCACAAGCATACTATTTTAAACCACAATGCAGTAATGAATTGATAGTTGGCGAAGTAGTAGCCATACAATGCGCTTAGAAATAAATCTAATTACTCTGTATAAATATAAAATACCCCTGAGTCTAATATACAATAGCAACTCGCGTTTGATCTCCGCCGGTACCAATGAAGTATAATTAATTGCAATTTTTAATGCTGACTTAAGACGTGTTCGACGGTGAAGGAAAACATCGCGAGGCGAGCATGTGAAGTCTGCGAACACGCAGTGGGGCAACGCGGTGAACGTTGTCTTGCCCTTAAATTCTTTCAGAAATGAAAGTAGGCCTGTGGCCAGCAATGGGACGTTTATAGGCTATAACTTTACTTTCCATAATTATTATACTGTCTTACTTTTTAAACCCTCATCAAGGTTCTCAAAATCGTATCGTGAAACTATTAAGTAACGCTATACATAATGATATCATAATCTTTTTTATACCTGGTAGAGCCACGCTGCAGCTATATTATGGTTGTAGCACAAATGGTTCGGCTCGGCCGGGGAAGGACCACGCTCTCACAGAATACCAACGTAAAATAGCAGCTTAATACTGCTGTGTTCGTATGGTGAGTGTAGAGATCCGGAGACCCTTTTTCTACTGCAAACGAGGCATTCCATTAGTCCTCAGGAGTGGCAACGTATCTGCGTTTTGATTCTTAATCGAGGATAAATGTAGATGTCTATGGGCCACAGCATCCACTTACCATCACGTGGACTGTGTGCTCGTTAGTCAACTTATTCTATAAAAAAAATCATCCACCTTTATTCCTTTATTTAATTAAAATTAAAAATAAATTGAATTTTCATCATGTAAGTAACTCTATGACTGTCGATACTAAGATTAATAATTTCAAAAGTTTTTTTTCTTGAAATTGAACTAGGAGGTGTGTTATTTGCACCTCCCTTGTGTGTTCAATAATACCTCGTCTAGACTGGTTGAAATGGATTACCGAAATACATCTACTTAGTAGGCACATCATGAATACGATCATTTATATTTAATGTAATACAAACACAATTTTACGTCAACAAAAGATTGACCTTTGCTGGAGGTTTGATATTGTATTTGGAGTCTCTATTGTCGCTTCTTGTATTGAACTTGAAAGGCTAGTTCATTTATTCTACATAGAATTTACAATGAGATTCTAGCTAATTAAATGCTATTATTAGGCAATCCTACTTACGTTAGTATATCTTTTACGTTAATCTTATTCTTAGACAAAATACAAAATTAGTGAAAACTCTTGTTGATATAAGAAGTTTAATCTTCCGTGTTTTGTATATTAAGTAAGACTATCATGCAAATAGTCGACTTTATGGAGTATAGATATTGTATTAGATTGACTATAGAGTGAGAATATTTACTCAATAGTTTATCTATGACATCAAGAAAACTTTATGTTACCCTTAAAAATACATTCAAAACGTTAGGAATTAAAAAAAAAACATCACATCATAATCATCAACCCGCACGGCCGATATACCCAGACAGTAGTCAGAGATTACGGACTTCTGTTTTGGCACATCCTAAGGTACCTTTCTTGCTTCTTTCATATCTATATATTTACGCGTATATCTTCGCTAGTTAAAGGCACTCTAAATTAGACACATTTCAATATATTGCCATTTTCACTACAAACTTCCATCTTGTTCGACTTTTGCAGGTTTTGCCATATATTTCTTTAACATTAATTTGTTTAGTTATTATTTCTTCTTTATTTTTTAAAAGTGTTTTAACCACTGAAGTATTCCTTTCTTAATCCTATACAACATCTTGACAAACACACTTTTTTATTACTCAATTTCAATATTGAGTAGCATACTTACCTAGTCACACAAATACATTTTAATCGCCGTGAAAAAAATTATAAATCAAACATGGTATTCAGTTGCGTTTGTGTTACTTTAAATTATATTTTAAAACGGTCAGATGTAAACGGTCATATAAAAGGGTAATTTATTCGAAATAAATATAAAATAATGCCATATATATTTTATAAATGGCATAATTATCAGAATTTACTCTGATAAAATGTCTTACAGTTAGGTTTTGAAAGGAAACTAAGCGTTAATTTCGTAATTGCAATGGCTAAAATTATTTTGGAACAAGTATTTATTCTCGTGGCTGCAGTCCGAAACATGTGTTCTTAAGTAGAAAATTGAAGACAGCACCACAACTCTTAAAGTTCAAGTGGGAAATGCATTACAACAGCTATTTTGTTAGCGAGTCAAGCTCAGAGAAATGTTACTAAGACGAAGTTTGTTAAGCTGTCCAAGTTTACTTTCATTTTGCAATAAGCCTACAATGCTTCATAATTTACTTGAGCGTACTCAGATATCTTAAAATATTTATAGTCAGAGACTTTAAGGAGCAGTTGTATTTATTTTCTTTCGTTTATGTTTCCTAGGGTCAAAAGACCATTAACTTTATAATTTAATTTTTAAATATTGTAACGGATTTTTGGGAGACGAGGAGGAAATCTATCTACGTTAACAGACTGGAAACGTTTTTGTGATTGTGTATTCGAATTGCAGATTTCCATTGACTAAACTAATCACTGACCATCAAGCAGACTGTCAGGCATGTTACACTGATAAAATAAAAAAGTTATTAGTAAGCACAGGAAATCCAACATTTAAGAATATAAGAATAGTGGAAAGATTAAATAAACTATCAAAAGACAAGTTGCTGGAGTTGTTGTGTTTGAAATGAGCAAGGAGTTAATAATAATACCATGAACAATTAAATACGATTTTAATTTTTAAATTTACGCGAACACTACACATTGAATAAAACTAAATTTACGGATTTTATCGCGTTTAATTAACTACTTTCACTTATTTTTAATTCGCAACGTTTCGGGTGCTTTACAGCACCCATGGTCACGAGGGGGCCTGAGATGTTTGACGTCCCAATGTCATAGTTAGCCCGGCTACCTTCAGTTTTTTAATTAATTTCAGTTTTTTACTTTAATTTTATTTTTATTTTTTTTTAATTTTTAATATTAATTTTTCCGTCCGATCTTAAAAAATTAATATTAAAAAACTGAAGGTTGCCTTGCTAAATATGACATTGGGACTTCAAACATCTTAGTCCCGCACGTGACCATGGGTGCTGTAAAGCACCCGAAACGTTTAAAAATATATAGTATTAAAAATAAGTAAAAGTAGTTAATTAAACGCGATAAAATCCGTAAATTTAGTTTGATTCAAGATTTTAAGAATTAGAACCACGCAATGGTCGTGTAATGGAAACAACACATTTGAGACTGGTGCCCCTTTTTAGTGATAACGAGACATTCCATCTTAGTTTTCAGGGACAACAAAGTTTCTGCAGTTTCTTATCTTAATCTTAAAGTTTATGGACAACTGTCGTCACTTGAA